TACCATTCCAGTTCAAAGAATCTTTGGTAACAATGCTGCAGAAGGCTATCATTGCACTGCTGCTGTGTCTGTAGTAACTGCTGTTGTTAAAGACAGCATTTAGAACTAGGATAGAAGCAGCAACTTCCCCTGCAGCTGTTAGCTGTGCAGAATGGTGGAGAATGTAAATAAAACATTTTGGTTTCAGAATTGGGAATTAATTCAAGTTGGCCAGAATCCGGTTGTTGAATTACATGTGCATACAACAATAATAATCTTAGATAATTCTAATATTATTATAGGATAGCTCAGTTGTTTGGTATCTTGCCATAGAGCCAGACGTTAGAAATTTGATTTCCCCACCATGCCTCGTTGACAGGGGCACTCAATCCACAGGGTCCCTTCCATCTCTGCAGTGACCATTACCTTTGTCCATTACTCTGTAGTGACCATTACCTTTGTCCAATGACCGTTACCTTTGTCATTGAATCATAGGGGCTGTCTTTCAGCTCTACAATTCTGTGATCGTTATCTTAGACTCTTATAACTGCAGAGCTAGATCTTCAAATTCATCCCCTGTCAAAGAGGCACAGTATAGAATCAAACTCCCATCCTCTGGCTTCCACAGTCAGATACCTGCATAACTCATCAAGTCCTATATTTCATTCATATGAAAGATACTGTATTAAAAAACAAGCAGAACAAGCACTTATCCCTTTGAAAAACTAATTGACACATATTCAACCACTACAACAGATAAAAAAAGCATCCTCAAATACAAAATGCTTCTTGAAATACCACCACTGGGGTCAAGTTGCTTGGGAGCATGGCCTAGGGTGACCCATCTCCACAGAGGCTTGGAACAAAATCTGAAGTCAGGTGCCATTTTGATCCATCTCAGCAAGCATAGGAAAAACCATGGTTCAACTTATACTTTGTCTGCAATTAACACCAATAAAATTAACCCCCACAACACAAAATACTATGAACAACGTCTCTTGGAGAGAATGTAGTAACATAGAATCTTTTTGCAGATATGTGGTGGTCATGCCCCAAAGCAGCTCAGTTGTGGCTACAAATGCATAAAGAAATCGAATGTATTTCTACCATAAAAATCCACTTAGTCTGACAACTAGTTTTATTACCACAAGGTAAACCTTTTCCTAGACAGTAACTCCAGGCTACTACATAAAAATGTAACCACTTTTCTACTTGTTGCTGTGCATAAAGAACTTGCAAAGCATTTGAAGGAAGCTGATAACCTATGGGACTTGGCTCCGTTTGAATGTTTAACTCAAGAATCCAGCATGCCCAAAACATCAGACTGAAAGAACTTCAATGCAACATTCATTACTTGCATTCAACCACACAGACAAATGTACCGATCCTCCTAACCTTCATTGGATTATAGAGAAGTATATGCTGGCCTAATCCCTCTTCAGAGCTCCTGTTCATTTTGGAAACAATGAAATGCTAACTCTCAAGACAAACACTTTCAGAACTGTGAAGCAAGAGCTAATACAGAAAAAAATTGAACTCTACACAATTATATATATTTTAAAGTGGAGTCACACTACTTTATCTTTTTTCTCTTTCTTCCTACAAAGCTCATTTTCTCCTCAAATTGTGTTTTGTTTCAGTTGGTTAACATTCTAAATAAACCTTTTTTTAAAAAAAAGAAATAGAATGGACATCTCATTAGTTAACAGCCATTTACCATGGTGAGTCATGCAGTTTAATTTATGAATGCATCAACTCAGCAACAGGCTTTTGACCAATGAGATCAAGAAAACAAAAACCACATATCTTTTACAGAACTGAGTGCTAAAAGAGCTTGTGACTGTGACTGTTGATAAGCGTAGAGGTGTGTGTTGAAATACATAGGGAGAGGAAACACACATCATATTTTATTGCCCTTGAGCAGTGGGACTTGCAGTTGTTGAAGTCCTGCTGGGAAGCAGCTGAGTCATCAGGTCAAACGATTGTTCCTCTGTGCTGTATCTAATTGGCTCATTTTCATATTTCTTGTGTATGTCTGGGAGAGTTTGGAAAGCAAATAATGTCTTATTAATGAAGAATTTAACTTTGGATTCTTCAGTATTGTTGATGGATGTGTTTGTTTCCTTAAAGAACCTTTCAGTATTTTATCACATGCCGCCTTGAGGGTGGTTGCTTCTAAGGAAAATCTTGTCTGGGGCACACATGAGTCTTCAATTTCAAAGGGATCTCCCACTCGTCTCAACGTTTCTCTTTCAAAATCTCAGAATGAAAATTATAGGATGTCTCAATGTAATATGAATGAGCAGCATATAAACAGCTGCATGAATTTTGCTATTAGACCAGGGGAGAAGTAGACTCCCAAATGGAATTATTTAATAGATGCTGCACTATAAAACTGTTATTTGGTGGTATGGATATTATGCTAGACTAGAACTCAGGACACCTGTGCCCACAGCGCCACCACGTCCCTAGAACTCAGGACACCTGTGTTCAAATCTAGATGGTAGGTGGAAACAGTGAACCATTCTTTGAACCTCTCACATACCTCAAAATACCCTGTTAAGAACACCTCAAGTCAGAAGCAGCTTGGCAGTATCTAATGGCAAACAGCTGTGATATGCTATAGATGAAATTGTGTTTTAAATTCAACATCACTTAATTCTTAAAGGGATGTAGCAGATGTGTATTTAAGCCTGCAACTATTCTGTTTACATTGGATATAGGTAATGTTTTATGAACGTAATGTTTGAAGTCCTGTTGCTCAGCTTAGTAAGTTGCACTAGCGTAGGCTCACTGAATCAGTGGGGATTTAGTGAGTCAATTCATCTTTAAGTTCAGTGGGCCTGCTCTAGTTGCAACTTACTTTAGTGTCACACCAAGAGTAGGCCCATTTGAACCAATGGAATGTACAGAGGAGTTCCACCAAACCCCCAGGGTCAATTGGCCTACTCTAGTGCAGTTTCCTACAATAAGTAACAGGATTTCACCAATGCTTTTCTTGTTAGAGAACAATATGTGCTGCTTTTGCTTTTAGTCTTGTCAGTAAATCATAGACTCTTAGAGCAAAGGAGCTGGAGTCAACTTCTTGCTCAATGCAAGAATTCAAATCAAAGCAGAGCTGACAGACGGCTGTCCAATTTTCTCTTGAATGCTTTCAGTGTTCAAGCACTCACCATGTCGCAAGGTAATTGTTCCGATTGTCATACTGCTCTGTTAGGAAGTTTCTCCTGATATTCAGTTGAAATCTGGCTTCTTGAGTCAGTTCCTATGTGTCCTGTACTCTGGAAGGACTGAGAACAATTCCTGCCCTTTGTCTGTTTGAAAACTTTCAAGTATATTTCATGAATTTCATTAATCAGATTTTTGGTTTTCAAATGTGATATATAAGTTTTATATTTGGAATTACTCCATAATTTAGACTATTTAGTCTCTGTGTAGTCTAAATTTTGCAGCATGATGAACCTAAAGCACTAAACAATCTGAGGATGATTACTTTCCATATATTGTTCATTGTAAGAAACTTGTTGTTGTGACTAACAAAAGCTTGTTACTACCAGTGGAAAGTCTCCTAAGGATCAATGGAAATAATAATTGTGTGTCATCAAGTCAATTCTGGTGTATTCACCATTTCCTTCTTATTCTGGAGGAACACTGGGAACCTGTGGCATTATTTATTTATTTTCAGATATGCTTGGTGAGACTTTTACTTTCTTTCCAACTTTCGACCTGGTGCCTAAAAAGCGTGTCAGTTTTCCAAGCGAATATGTCACATAAATTCTGGGATCACAGCAATTTATGATTCAGACAGTGGATAACCTGCAAACAGTGGATTGACCCACAATAGTGTTGTTTGTTATGATTTCTAAATAATTGACAAAGCCAGGGTAAGCAACCTGTGACCGTCTAGATGTTTTTACAGTAATCAGCGCTGAGGCAGGATGTTGAAGTTCAATCCAGTAATATTTGGAGGGTTGTCCATACCTTTATAGGACGTGGTGGCGCTGCGGGCTAAACCGCAGAAGCCATTGTGTGCTGCAGGGTCAGAAGACTAGCAGTTGTAAGATCGAATCCACGCGACGGAGTGAGCTCCCGTTGCTTTGTCCCAGCTCCTCACCAACCTAGCAGTTCGAAAGCATGCAAATGCGAGTAGATAAATAGGGACCACCTCGGTGGGAAGGTAAACAGTGTTCTGTGTATAGCCACGCTGGCCACGTGACAATGGAAACTGTCTTCGGACAGGCCATGGCTCTATGGCTTGAAAAGCAGGATGAGCGCCACCCCCTAGAGTTGGATACGGCTGACTAAATGTCAAGGGGAACCTTTACCTTTACCATACCTTTATAGGGCTTTGTATGTGAAAACTCCTTAAACAGTCCAGTTCATCTCAGGCAACTAAAATAGCAGTTGTGATTGTGACTGCCATTGACAACTGCAATGAGAATAGAAAAATGGAAAAGGATCATTATTGGTGAGAATCCAGTCTGTCAAGTTCTAACATAAAGTTATGCTATCATAAATGTGCTGGGTGTTCTGCCCCAGCAACAAAGACTATGCAAGTCAACTGTGCAATGATTTGCATGATTCCCATTTGTCCTATTGCACAATGTGCCAACAGAAGTGCTCTGTGGATAACATTTCCCCCTTAGTGTGATTGTAGCTACCACAGGCATAATGTTGAGTTAACACCCATACAGCTATGCAACTGGATTTCAGTCGTTGTGTACCTTAATACCCCGTTTGTTGCATGTAACAGTTTTAAATGCTGATAAACACATGAGCATTTTAGTCATAGTTACATTAAGCTAATGAGATGACCAGTATTGAAAGATGAGGGCATCTATCCCAAAATCTAGGTGCAGAAAATTAGAGAATGCAAGCAGGGCTAGAAGGCTTTAATTGGAGGTCATTCTGAGTAGTACCACTGTGACTGTGATGTCAGCTAGGCAAGGAAACTATGCAATAATCAAAACTTACTGTTTTTCTCCATCTCCAACTTCCCCGTCCCTTTGTTCTCCAACTAGGTGACCAGTTAAGATGGATTTCTCACAGCTCCCTAAAATCCGTGATGAAGACAGAGAGAATGTTTTTGGCTATGTCTATGGAGTTTCAGGACCTGGTAAGTGTTGCTTTGGCTAGTTGAGAAAATATGTCATAATAAAGTTTGAAAACTTTCAAGTATATTTCATGAATTTCACCTTTTTCTTGTGTTTGCCTCCTGTGTTTCCTTTCGTATTAAGCTCCATTGTGTGCAAAAGAAATACATGATGATCTGAAACAATGGTGAAAGCTGTAAAAATGTCTGTTTTATGTCTGCATCAGAGAAAACGATGCCATTTAGTTCTAATTAGGAGATTAAAAAATAACTGTCTATCTTCACAGTCTCACAAGATCTACCTTATTTCCTATGGAATACTAGCCTAGGCTTGCAATGCCTTAATTTTTAATACAATTTTCTGCTTATATAACTACATGTCTTCTAACATTCTTGTGCAACACCACTTTCTTTTGTATATTAAAAACAAAAACAAAATGGAAGTGTTGTGGCACCTCGGAGACTAACAGATTTATTTCAGTGTGACCGGTGGATTGCAATCTATCTCCTCAGAAACGTGGAGTACGAGATTTTCCCACAGGGTTATACACACAGTATACTGTAGATGGTTGAGTGTGGAGACCAAGTAAACAGCACAGCTGAGGAACTTTTGAATTTTCAAAGTGACAACAGCATTATTAACTCAGAATAATTAACTTTCAAAGTGTTGATTCCATAAACATTCTGGTAATGTGTCAAGTAATTAACTAATGTATATTTTCTGCATGCTAAAATAATGGCTGTCTTTAGAGTACAGAAATGTTGCTTTTGGGAAGGAGTTGATTCCTTCTGAATCATTTTCTGGTTCTGAGGCCACAGTTTTGTCAAAGAGAGCAAACTCTATCTTTATGCACGATTATATGAAAAAACCTGTTTGTTAATTCCAACACTGTGGCAAAATGAAAGGGAAATAAAGTAAAACATTGTAGCATTTTAAAGAGTAACATATTTTTTCCCCAATGTGAGCTTTTGTGGAGCAAAATCTAATTCTTTAGACACAGGATTATATGTAATCCATGGTGGAGAGATTTATGTCCAGATGAGAAAGCACATAATAGGGTTTTTGTAGAGGCAGGGTTTTTGTAGACTGCATAGTGCTTACTCCTGATATGATGTTTAACCTTGCTTCCTTTTTATGGAATTACTTACTGCAAAGAAAAGACCAGAATTGTGGTGTATTGTAATACAGAACAACTTTGTCAGGTCATTAATGTAGTCAGCCATTTTAAAGCATGCAATGGAGGAAGTGATAAAATTTTTTAGTTTTTGAAAATTATTTCTTTTCTGATTCATAACAGTTATTGAGTAGTGTACTGAATGAATCAAAGTCTTTGAGCTCAGATGTCTTGACTTTCCAGTAAAAGGTCTTAATTTTTCATCTCAGGGTCAACTTTAACAGTCTTTGATTTGAAAGATCCCTGTTAAATCATACAGGGGATTCTCTTGCTTCAAAGAGAGATCAGTGCCTTTGTGACATCAAGACCCATACCACCCATATTGTTTTTATCCATATCTAACAGCTGTCACTTGAGCTTATGACGGAATATTCCTGCATACAATTGTTCTGCACAGAAAACTAGTATGTCAGTGAAGGAAACCAGTTCTTTTGCACATTAAAAACAAGATACCTACAGAAGTTGGAATGAACAGCTACTTCCTGGGAAACCACAGCTAAGTCTGCATTCATCCTCTTCCTTGTTTTCCTTAGTTGTTACTGCCTGCAACATGGCAGGTGCAGCTATGTACGAGCTAGTACGAGTTGGCCACTGTGAACTTGTAGGGGAGATTATCCGACTGGAGGGTGACATGGCAACTATCCAGGTGTATGAAGAAACCTGTATCCTTTTGGTTGATGGTGTCTTTTGCCTTTTAGGGCCTGCTTGCTCAAGTGACCACTATCCTTTTGCATTTGACGAAAAATGAAAGGAAAGGAAAGGAAAGGAGCTGTGGGGCGGCATATAAAACAAACAAACAAATAAATAAATAAATAAATACATAAATACATAAATATTGAATAGAACAATCATGAGAACAAGATGATAACTTCAGTGGTAACAGAGTTTGCTTTACTTGAAAAGTAATTCCTGTCTTTACTTGAAATGTAAAGCAGGATGCCATCTAGTATTATCTTTGGATAATTATATTTTTCACAGCTATCTTACAATAATTCCAGTAGAATCTTGCTTAAACTAAATCAAACATGCATAAATCTTTATTAAAGGTGTTTTCTGCTTGGATTTTAATCCACACTACATAATTTATGAATGTTAGGTGTTTGGGCTCCAATGGAAGAAGATGCTTTTTGAGATACAAAGGAATTTGAACTGATACTGGAAATACGCAGCAAACAATCATATCTGCTAGGCCAGTTATAATTTGTGACTAGGAATATATTCCTCCTGAGACACTAGTAGATATATTCAATTCCAGCTAAAATTGTGAGCTGTGTTACTGAACAGCACCACTTTTAAAAGGGGGACTGTAGTCTAATCTAGAAGTCCTTTGAAAGTGGGAAGAGATGCAGGCAACTTCAAACCTGTGCCAATGTACCCTGTGCCCCATGTACCATGGAAGATTTGATATTGGCAGTCCCGGATGCTCTTGATGTTGCCCATCATTGGGCAGAAATTATCTGATATATTGATTAATTGCATGATGGTGCTTCTGACACAAGCAAAGAAAGGTGTAAAAGTTAGCAAAAAAATTGGTGATAATGGTAAAATTCCTGTCTTCCAGTAGCTAAAATACGAGTCAAGAAAATTTGAAAAGTACTGTAGACCATAGTCATTACTGCAATATCTAGAAACAATTTTGGATCTAGGATTATTTTTAGATTTCCTGTTGAACTTTAAGAGAGAGTACATTTCTATCCATCTTGGGGATTTTCCCTTTAGTTTGAGTAACCAAATAATCCCACCATCTGTTTCTATGTTTGTTTGTTTTTTAAAAATTGGGAAAGACAAAACAAAATAGCAAGCAAATTAAGATACAGGTAATGTCCTGTTCAGAAGGTTGCAGAAATTGATTGCATGTAATTTTTGCTTCAGGAATCAAAGCAGAAGGCTTACTGAACTTTGGTCAGGTGCATGTAGCATCAGCATGAGCACAAAATCGCAACAACCTTAATTCTCACTCAGTGCAATATTTGCAAATCTTTCTGGGGTGGCTTATATTAATTGAAGTACTTACGGAGTTGAAACAGCTTTGCTCCTGTTCATTGAAATGCCTAAGATGCTCTGTGACTTGCCAAAATGTTGCAAAAATGTTGCCCTCCCCCCAAACACTGAGGTGGATGAATTAATATTAGTATTTATGAATGGATCGGTAAATAAATACTTTCTGATGAATGAGACATCACTTTCTAGGATGTGTCCTTTCCTCAACAATGATTTTAGCTGGTGTTTCTGTAGGAGACCCTGTACTTCGTACAGGCAAGCCACTCTCAGTGGAGCTGGGACCTGGCATCATGGGAGCCATTTTTGATGGCATCCAAAGGCCTCTCTCGGATATCAGCACGCAGACGAACAGCATCTACATCCCAAGAGGAGTAAATGTGACAGCTCTGAGCAGAGATCTCAAATGGGACTTTACACCAGTTAAAAATTTGCGGGTAAGTTATGAAGACGTGCAAAATGAATGCTTTGAAATTACTTGTGCGCATGTGTCCATTACCATGCCTAAATGAGGAAGAGAATGAATGGGGTGTACATTTTGTATTGATGGTTGGGTAGTGTAGAGGGAAGAGATGAGGAAGAAGAGGTAAAGGACCAGGCAGGCGGAAAGCAGGAAAGGTGTTTGTGCCATTCTGTGGTCCTGACCACTTTTTCCAAGGGAGCAGGGCAGATATATTTGAATACCTTTTTCCTTTCATTTTCAGGTTGGCAGTCACATCACAGGCGGAGATATTTATGCCATAGTGAATGAGAACTCCCTCATCAAACACAAGATCATGTTGCCCCCACGAAACAGGGGTACAGTCACATACCTTGCTCCACCTGGGAATTATGATGCATCAGTAAGTTTTTCTCTGAATTATGTTTGTTGTTCTGTCTCATTTTATGTTTCAAGGTTTCATGTAGACTGCTTTGAATGTGGGCAATAAATGGAGGAAACCTCTTCCTTACTCTTCCTGAGAATAAAATCTTGGTGCCTGCTTGCTCAAGTGACCACTATCCTTTTCCATTTGATGAAAAATGAAGGGAAAGGAAAGGAGCTGTAGAGATCATGTAGCAGCCTCTCCTTTAGCTATCCCATGCATGCATCTTTACCTTAGTATTAGGGCTTTTCCAGCAGCCAAGCTTGAGGTCTGTATGAGAAACAGAAACAGGATGGTGAAGAAAGGAAGTGATTAAGGTAATTTAGGCTAAGTTCCATGGAATAAACTAGGTCCTAGTGGCCTGTTTGGAGGCCAGAATCAGTTGCTCTTTCCTTCTCCAACTAAATTTTGGGAAAGCATTCCCTAGGAGATGCATTTATAACCTGGTGGTTGCAAAATGTTCTACAACCAGTTGGCACTTCAGAATTGGAGAGGTCACTTCATACATTGGATGTTCATAGAGTCCTCGCTTTCTACACTTCAGGAACTAGACACTTCTCAAAATCAAACAGGCTGTTTGTCAGCTATCAATGACCAAAAAAGGTGAGCAAACATCCCAACATATCTTGAAATGGATAGTCAGCACCACTGCTTTGGCATACCACTTGGCAAAAAGACCAGTCTCAGATTGTTTAAGGGGACATTCTGCCAGGGCGGTTGCCACTTTCACTGCCTTTCTAAAGGGTGTTTAAGTAAGTGACATTTGTAAAGCAGCAACATGGTCACAGCCCTGGACGTCTGTCAAGCATTACAAGCTGGACGTCAGAGCCCATGCATCTTTACCTTAGTATTAGGGCTTTTCCAGCAGCCAAGCTTGAGGTCTGTATGAGAAACAGAAACAGGATGGTGAGGAAAGGAAGTGATTAAGGTAATTTAGGCTAAGTTCCATGGAATAAACTAGGTCCTAGTGGCCTGTTTGGAGGCCAGAATCAGTTGCTCTTTCCTTCTCCAACTAAATTTTGGGAAAGCATTCCCTAGGAGATGCATTTATAACCTGGTGGTTGCAAAATGTTCTACAACCAGTTGGCACTTCAGAATTGGAGAGGTCACTTCATACATTGGATGTTCATAGAGTCCTCGCATTCTACACTTCAGGAACTAGACACTTCTCAAAATCAAACAGGCTGTTTGTCAGCTATCAATGACCAAAAAAGGTGAGCAAACATCCCAACATATCTTGAAATGGATAGTCAGCACCACTGCTTTGGCATACCACTTGGCAAAAAGACCAGTCTCAGATTGTTTAAGGGGACATTCTGCCAGGGCGGTTGCCACTTTCACTGCCTTTCTAAAGGGTGTTTAAGTAAGTGACATTTGTAAAGCAGCAACATGGTCACAGCCCTGGATGTCTGTCAAGCATTACAAGCTGGACGTCAGAGCCAAACTCAGTACAGCCTTCAACAAAGTGGTGATTTCTTCTGTGTTGCCAAGACTTCCCACCAACTGCTAATTGAGCTTGTCAGTCACCCACAAGTTTGATTCATAGACACCACGAAGAAGGACAGGTTGCTTACTGGTAACTGTAGTGCTTTGAGTGGTTGTCTGTGAATTCACACAACCCACCCATCGTCTCCTCCGTGTGTCATCCCAGTTTATACAGTGGTACCTTGCTAGATGATGACCTGGCTGTACGATGACCCCGCAGGATGGTAACTATAGCTATAGCGATCACAAAACAATGTTTCCTATGGGGAATTTTCACTTGACTTTGATTAGGTCCATGCTTCGTGAACCATTTGTTCGCAAGACGACGATGTTTTCCAGCTCCGCAAAATGGCTGCCCTGTGTTTTCTGGACCCATGCTTCACAGGGCAGCCATTTTAACAGCTGATCGGCACTTGGAAAATAGCTTCCCCCTATGGGCGATCTTCGCTGGACAATGAGGTAATTTCCCAATTGGAATGCATTAAATGGGTTTCAGTGCATTCCAATGGGGAAACTGTTTTCACTGGACGATGTTTTCACTTAACAGCGATTTCAGGGGAATGGATTATCATCGTGGTGCGGGACACCACTGTATTTTCAGTCAGTGGTGAACTGCAGGAACTGAGGATTCATCACAGGGTAGGGAAGCATACACAGTGCAGGGAGTCAATCTAATGGACATTTAGGCTCCAGAATGTTCCAGGGGAGTTTCATGCAGGTGCAGAAAGAACCCACATATGTAAATTCAGAGATGACCACTTGAAGAACTAAGTTCCAGATAAGCAACCTGTCTATTTACATATTTATATGCCAACTTTCTCCTAAAAATAATTCAAGGGAACTTACAGTATTAAACAAAATAATGAATAAGTACAACATTTAAAAGAAATTAAACAAATATATTAAAAACATGTAGAAAAAAATGAATATTAAAAACATGTTTAAAACAACAAAAATACAACAGGTCCTTTAAGAACCCCTTTAGTTAACCAGTCATTAAAAGAAAGCTTGCTTGAAGAGAAAGGTCTTTTCCTGTTTGCAGAAGGACAGCAAAGATGGGGCCAGCCTGGCCTCCTGTGCAAAGGAATTCATGCCTTTGGGAGCAGCAACAAGAAAGGCCCTCTCCCATGTCCCCTATAAACACATATGCGAAGATAGTGGAACCAAGGGAAAGGCCTCCCTGATGATCTTAAAACCTAAGCAGGCTCAAAAGTTGCATTCACAGGACCTGCATCAACTGTACTGACTTCTTTGCCACTGCAGCTGCTTCAGAATAGGCCTTACAGGGAGTCTTAGACCATGTTCAGTTGGATTCACTCTTGCGTTTTCTGCCCTCATCTCTGTAGTCTCCATTCCGCTTGTTTCCTCCCCACCAGATCCCTGGTAAACCGGGGGGGGGAGGGTCAGTTTGATTCTTTTTCATGGGATGGAATGCTTAGGAGCCATTTCCCTGTTCCAGATGTCAAACAGAGCTTTAATAGAATTACTTAACAAGGCAGGAGAAAACTCCCTCAAACCCATCAGGAAACCATTTGGACCCATTAGCCTCCTGGACTATTTTCATCAATCCCTCATCCCTGGTGAGGCTTTTGAGTTCCATTGAGTCTAACCCCCTCCATGTCATGATTTGTCCATGACAACAGGAATTCCTCCACACCCAGATCACCAGCATATACCCCAGTATAGAAAACCAGGTCTAAAGTGTATCCTGCAGCATGGATGGGGCCAGATGCCATTTGGGACAGACTCACGGTTGTCATGGAGGACATGAAGTCCTGAGCCACTCCTGACAAAGCTGCAGCAGCATGGCTGTTGAAACATCCCAGCACAACAAGCCAAGGGGATTCCACTTATTCAAACTGTTTAAAATTGGGAACAGTTTAGAGACATCCAGCATCCTCTTGCTCTCCCCTCTTACATATTGGTGAAGCTGCTGTCCCCCATCGTATCTCCCCCTGCCCTGTAAAGTTATGAAGGCCACTCCCTGATGTCCCTCATTACTCCCCTTCTTATGAAAATACATCTCTCTGGCACGGCCTCTGGCAAAATGTCTGTCTTAATATACCTGCAGGAGGGGAGCCATAAACACAGTCAGGGAGCCCAGAGATCATAGAAGTAGGGATCTGTCTTCCCATTGCAGGGGTAGCTTACAGAGGTATTCAGAAAAAGTGGCTTGGTGAGGGAATACCATTAGCACCACACCCCTTTGCTTTCTCCTCTCTCACTCCCTTTGACTGTGTGACCCCACTTCTGAACAGAAACCTCATGGATCTTGACTGATGTCAACAGTGGGCTCTGGTCTAGTTGGCTTTTTTCCTTGTGGCCATTTCTGTGTGTTTCCGGTCTGATTTTGTTTTGTGTCTTTTAGGATGTTGTCTTGGAACTAGAGTTCGAAGGAGTCAAGGAGAAATTCACTATGGTCCAGGTCTGGCCTGTACGACAAGTGCGCCCTGTTACAGAAAAGCTGCCTGCCAATCATCCTCTTCTAACTGGTCAAAGAGTCCTGGATGCACTCTTTCCGTAAGTGGCAACTGTGTTTTGCATCATGGGTTGCTTGCTTTTTTTTAACATCAGAAAGTGTTCTTATAATGCCATAGAATGCAGTATTCGAAATATGTCTTGGTTATTTTTAGTAAATCCCCATAACTGGAGTAACTGTGTGTGAAATGCTGTCAGTGCTAAATGCATGGAATTGACTTCCACTGTTAAAGAGCTGAAACACTTCCTGATGTAGCATCATATGCATCAATACATGGTATATTGAAAGTAGTGTCTAGAAAAGTCACTGTAGTTCAGGCAGAGACAGAACAGTTCTTTCTGTTTTTTTACCATTTTTATTCAGGAATGTGTCTAAAAGACTCATGTAACATGTGATGGACTAGGGTTGTTTTTTGTGGTATTTTCCACAGTGCTAGAGAGGGTGATGTTAAATTTCTAGATGTGTCATGCCCTCTGTTCTGATCTGCATCACTAATGAATCAGTGTAGGTTGGAGGAGTTTTATTCGTTTTTCTGCTTTTATGTAAACTGCCCAGAATAGTGCTGTGCAGTAATGGAGTGGTGTGTATATGCGTGTGTTTGTCTTTCCCAATAAAACTTCACCTCTCAACTCATAGAAAACAAGAAACAATGCATGAACTAATGCTGTAGGAACTGTGCATTCTTATCCTAGCTATACTAGAATTGTACTGTACATACATAGAGAAACTTCATCCTCCACCTAGAGATGTTCTAAACATTTTGCAAGGGCTGGTCTTGAACTGGAAAAAGTGCCTGGGAGCAGATTCATAGACTGAAGATCAGGATCCTCACCAAGTAAGGGTTCATCCTTTAACCCATTGCTCCTTTCAAAAAAGGAACGATCAAGCCTGTTCCCCAGAGGTCAAGCACACTTAGGGACCACTACACATTTTAATTTATGTGCCCTCAATTTGCTTCCAACAGGGTTTTCTAACAGGGTTTCCAAGGCATGTGAGATGTATAAGGAGTGGTTTCCCATTGCCACCCAGTCTCCATGGCCAACTGGGAATTTGAACTCTGGTCTCCTGAGTCCTAGTCTGACATTCTGTCCACCACACTGGATTTCAAGTATTTTAATATGAACACATAAAAATGGGGGATGCAGAAATCATCATCAGCCTAAAATTGCCGAACTGCTCAGTGCTGAGACACCATTTCAGAAAGATGACTTTATGTTCTGACTTGACATTGCTATTGTGCAATAGCTTCCTAGCTTTGGCAGGCTTCCTGGAAGCAGCAGCCTTTGGTAACTTTGTCTTGCTCCTATGCTTTGCATATGCAGACAAGCTTTTCCAGTATTGAATACTTACATCCAGACTCCTGTCCATAGCCAGAATCTTTATGAAACTCCCACTGGCTAAGGAAGGATGTCAGCGTGTCCAAGAAATGGTCCTATTTTCATACCAGACAGCATACTGATAAAAATCACACCCTTAGGAGCAGAGGATGAAGGGTGTCAGCTGTGTAGTCATCCCTCTTTGGGTTTATTGTTTCTTCATACCACTTAAAGCACTCTCTGAGTGGTTTACAAGTTAATTATGCAGGCTACACATTGTCGCCCTCGCAGGCTGGGTACTCATTTTACTGACCTTGGAAGGATAGAAGGCTGAGTTAACCTTGAGCCGGCTACCTGGGATTGAACCCCAGGTCGTGAGCACAGTTTTGGCTGCAGTACAGCAGTTTAACCACTGCACCATAAAACTCTCTATATAGAACAGACAGATATGTCAGGCTGTTAGAATGGGTAGGAGGAGGCAGTGCTGGGAAAGAATAGGAGGGCAGTGTTCAAAGATAAACTTTTGTTATATAATTTTAAAACAATGTTATTCATTCATTTATTTTTAAAATCATACTCATGCTTCTGCAGGTGGCCACATTTGGAAGATGTTGCCCTGTATTTCCAGTGGAACAAAATATTTATCCAAGAGATCTTATTTCTGGCAGTTTTTCTGCCATCTGAGTTGTAAAAGGAAATTCTGAATGTTTAGTTCCAGACTGACCTATGACCACAGAGGTTTGTAGAGAGGCTTTCTATCACAGAAATTATAGAAGGGCATCTAGGCTCTGCCAGGGCCTCCCACAGGTGCCTCTTGCATTTTGTTAGTTATTCTAATTCATTTATTAACAATTTAAGATTTTTTTTTCTGTTGCAGGTTTCTTTAAGGTTTAAGTATACCTTTTGGGGAAAAAAGGTCCTTTCACTATAGGGGTTGATTTGCACAGCGCAGTCTCTTTAAGTTACCAGTTGTCAATTGTGCTCTCTGATCTGACTGTGAATCTATCATGTATTCTTCCTCAGGTGTGTTCAAGGAGGTACAACGGCTATCCCTGGAGCTTTTGGCTGTGGAAAGACTGTGATTTCACAGTCTTTGTCAAAATATTCCAACAGTGATGTTATCATCTACGTAGGCTGCGGAGAACGAGGAAATGAAATGTCTGAAGTGCTTAGAGACTTTCCAGAGGTTGGTGCTGACTATGGGAGACATGTTTGTGTGGCTTTCAGAAGGAGGTTCTTGGTGCTATGATGCCGTTTGAGTTGGCTTTTTAAGGGGAAATGTGCAGAGGAGTCACTGTGGTTAAGAACAGATTATAGTCTATTTGCTGTCTTAAGACATTTGAGAAGAGACTGCAGATGAGTCCTAATCCGTAAGAGCAGACTAAGATCTGAATCACTATGCTTGTTTTCCTTCTGTCGAACAAATACAAATAATACATTTATATGCCATTTCAAGTTCTTCTGCTATATAAACTTTACGTTATTTTCAAATAGTTGATGAAGAGAAATATCATTAAGTTACATTTCTGTCATCAGTGTTACATTATCTTGAGACCAATTCAAGACTTTTATCTTTTTTTATTGGAATACTTTAGAAATATTTTAAAGTCTGATCAAGCAGTAGCATAGACTTCCCTTAAATTTTTAAGAAGTGACATTTTTAAATGGCAGTTCTTCGTCATGGTCTCTGTGAAATCACGTGTGGGTTGTCCCACCCCTGGAAAGAGCAATCTTGGAGTCTTCTAGAGCCTGCAGAAGTATTAGAACACACCCCTTCTCAGTGTGCACTGCGCTTCACTTAATGAGGGTGGCAGTGACTGCAGGAGCAAGGTTGAGTGCTAAGAGAGCCGAGTTAAGGGGGGGTGATTGTTTCCAAATAAGCTTCACTTGCTAGGTAGGCCTATGCATCAGTATTCCTCTGATCCTACAGATCAGTTCCCTTGATTCAAGGCACAATTTGCCATAGCTGGAGGCAAACAATGTTTTCTTTCCCTACCTTTAGCATCTCTGCATTTCTCTGCAACTGTTACTCCTTTCAAGGTAAACATAGTTGTTATGTGTTAAGAAGCTTCCTTTTGAATCCTGTGCAAACACAGACCTACCTCAGTGTGTCAGTTTAAAATATGCAGTCAATATAAATTATCCACAAGGTTTCAGAAGCAAGGACAAGTGCTTTTGTAAGAGCAGTAAGAGAAGCTCTTACCCTGCGATCACCTCTTGTATTTTCTCTTTATTTGTTACTGTTATGTCCATTTTTGCTTTGACTTATGGTGCCCTTATGACTGAGCACTCTTCAAAATGGCCTGCCCATTTTCTCTTTAGCTTGGCATCTCTGAATTCCAGTGTGATGGGCAGACCGGGTATGAGCAGAAAATGTTCTGCTGCTGCTCAGACTGAGTTGCGATGACTAGTGTCAACCTTGTGAATGAGTTTACAAATGCTGATTCATTTCTGCTACTTCGTACTTGGTGTGCCAGACAAGTTCTTGTTGAGCACAGTGCTTCAGGGCAGACAGTTTATTTTTTGATCAAGTGAAAACAGGCACATAAGGCAACCAGGACCTTGGGATCAAACTTCTGAAGGACTGTCAATGTAATGAAGCAATTTCAGTGATTGTTGGGAACCTTTTACCTCTGTTTAGATGTGGGAATATTGTGGTGTCAAGCCAGTTGAGTCCTGTGTCCTTTAAACAGTTCCATCCTTTCCTCTGTAGCTCACCATGGAAGTTGGTGGCAAGGTAGAAAGCATTATGAAGAGAACTGCTCTTGTAGCAAATACCTCCAACATGCCTGTCGCTGCCAGGGAAGCTTCTATCTACACTGGTAAGAGAGGGGGAAGCAAGGGCAGTGTGGGCTGGTGCTTGATCCATGGTCTTCCCAGTAAAGGGGTTGCTGTTACCACCCTTCCTCAGTTCAAATGGTCTCATGTCTGTGATGTGCACCTTCAAGGACCACTGCCAGTTTTCTAGATTGTTGTTCATGTAGCACAGAGTGGAGGGCAGGGATTGTGGTGCCTTTATTATATGTTCGCTGTCTTCAGTGCTCTTTGGTAGGGTATGATGTTTTTCTGTCCATTTCTCCTTCTGCCTCTTATCAAAGTTGTTCAAAGGTACAAGCAGGCAAAGCAGGAGTGGATGATAATGGAAACTTGAGGAGTCCTTGGTTTTGAAATTTGACTGTACCTCTCAGGAAAGCCTCCATAAATCTCAGTCCCCTGTATATCAGTAATACAAGTCTGCAGAGGGTGACACCATGCTATATTTTAACAAAAATATAAACAACATCTGAAACTCTGTTTAATAACAATTGCAATACCAAATAATAACTATGTCCAAGATTATGTCTAAGAGGGCTGCTGGTGTTGTTGCTCTATGTGGCAAAAGAAAACTTGTATCATTCTAGGGCACTTCCTTTTAATTCCTAACACTCTCATTCAAGAATATGGTAGACCTTTCTATGTATTTTAGAGCTTGTTTTAAAAAAGAAAAGAATTCCTGTCAAGTATCAATAATGGCTGGAGATAAGGCTCTGTAAATAGGATTGGAAAGTGAGAATGAAGAAAGAATCCAAAGGGGTAACGCAGTGGTCCTCCTTGCTTCTTTTGTTCAGTTGCTCTTACACAGATCTAGAGAGTCCAGAAATGCTTCTGGGGGGTTTCTTGGTAACTCATACTAGGGCAGGAGCTTTGATTTCTGTGACTTCTTATCTGCTATTGCTGTTTGTTGCAGGGATCACTCTGTCTGAATATTTCCGTGACATGGGCTACCATGTCAGCATGATGGCGGATTCCACGTCCAGGTGGGCTGAAGCCCTTCGAGAAATTTCAGGGCGCCTTGCTGAGATGCCTGCGGGTGAGTGTTCCCATTTCTATGTCCGTGCTTGAAAGTGAGTCTCAAATCTCTTGTGGCTGTTGAAACTAACTTGATCTGTGTTCTTGTTTGCAGACAGTGGTTATCCTGCTTACCTTGGTGCCCGTCTGGCTTCTTTCTATGAGCGAGCCGGCAGAGTGAAATGTCTTGGGAACCCAGAGAGGGAAGGGAGTGTCAGCATTGTTGGCGCGTGAGTATTTATCCTTTCTTTTGTTATAGTTTGTATTTGTTAAGTCAAGTGGCAGTAACTATTTGGCCAGTTCTCCTTATATAAGGCAAATAATCCCTCTGCTAAGGAGCTATCTGTATGTGGAAACCTAGGCAGGTGATGGAAAGAAAGCCTTTCTGTCGGTATTAAACCAAGAAGGCTTGTACAGACCTTTGCTGGCAAACTTGGTCAAGAGGAAGAGTGCAGTAAAGGCCAAGCCCAGAACAAGTCATTATGAAATGGCCAGACTATACATAGGGATATTGCTCTTCTATCAGAGGAGCTGATGCTGTCGATACTCCTGCATGTTATGAAAATTTCCAGAAAAAAATCAATTGCTGATTTGCACTTCACATCTGGTTAGTTGGTGGCCATTTTATTTCAGACTGAAATGTGTATTGCCACTGTTGAAAAGCATAGTTAAAGCTGGTATTTGATGCCAGTAACTTACCTTCTTCTGATTACTTTGTGAACTGATTCTTAACTCAGTGCCTGACTAGTGATCTGGATATGAAAAGGCCCTCAAAAGAGAACCATCTTGACAAAGTAGAATTAATAATGGGAAGGTGACATCTGCTTCTAGAAACTGTAGCCACCTAAATGTGGAAATGTTGGCTTCAACACTGAAACATAAGGAGGTGACAGGGGGCACAACGTGTGGTCCTGAGAAAGTGGCAAACAGAACTTGCTAAAAAGTAGAAGACAGAACTCAGGGGAGGAAGTTATGTATGTGCGAGAGAAACACGGAGACATGTCTCATTATTTCTGTCATTTGTAGTCTTTGATGCCATGATTTTGGATATCCATGGAAAATGATGCAATATCTTTTAGGAATGGAAGGCCTGGACGTAAAACCATGTTTTTAATTGAGTTTTAAATGTACCCAGCGTGGGGGCCGCGCGAATCTCAGGAGGGAGATTATTCCAAAGGCGAGGAGCCACCGCCGAGAAGGCCCGGTTTCGTGTCTTTTCCCTCCGGGCCTCCCTCGGCGTCAGGCTCCTCAACATCTCAATATCTTTTAGGAAGTATATGCATAAATCAGCATGCATCTAGAGAAATATGGATCTTATCCATTCACCTTTGGATAGGCATCCCTTTCTGAATGTTCTTATTCCTTCTAATTTGTGCATGATTTTCTAACAAAGACCATAGTTTGGTGCTTTGCATGCATAGGGTTTCCTTTTCAACACTGGCAGTTTTAGGTATCACTATGAAACTCTCTCATCTTAAACCCTGGGGAGCTGAAGCCGATCAGAGATGACAGTGCCAAGCTAAATAGAACAGTAGACCTTTTCCCATATAAGGCACTTTCCTGTGTTCCCATAGCAGTCTGGCAAAATGAATCAGATTGGATAATTGTCTTATCCAGTGAAACTGTGATATTCTGCTTGAAAATGGAAACTGGGCAACTGTGACACTCTGGGGCTGGAGGTATTAATCAGCAGGTGGAGAAAGCTGAAAAGATTGGGTTGGTTTTCTTTTGCAATATTGAGTAGAGGTCTTAATTAGAAACTTTTAAATCAATATCCACTCAGAAAAGCTTTGACGTAGAATCACAGAATAAGAGAGTTGGAAGAGGCCTATCAAGCCATCGAATCGAACCCCATGCTCAGTGTGGGAATCCATGCAGAAATGGCATGTATGTGATGACTGCTTTTATTGTACCTTTTAAATTAATGGCAGCTTCAACAAAAGGTGCAGTTCATGGAATAATCATAAAACCAGGATTTTTGCATTCTGAGTGGCCCCAGGAACAAAGCTTACAATTTAGCACCAACTCAATGTTTTAGAAGATATTGGGATTACTTTTCTCACATGACTGTGTCAAATTTGTATTTCAGAAACAGATGAGTTTGGTTATTAGATGTAGATTAAGTTCTCTTGCATCTGACATTAATGCCTTTCCCCTTCTGTCTCTCTTGCATCCCTCCTACTCAGTGTATCTCCTCCTGGAGGTGACTTCTCTGACCCAGTGACTTCTGCTACTCTGGGTATCGTTCAGGTAGGCTGAGGCTACGTTTTCTCAGTAGAATGTAAGCATTCATTTTAAATGTGGCCCACATCAGTGATAGGAAGAATAAATCAACATTGTTGGCTTTCTGGATCAGAGCTGGAGCCTGTCAACCTGGCTGTGGTGGGGTACTGGGCCTGCCTGCGTGCCAAGCTTTCCAATGATTCATAGCATTTTGCTTCTTTTAGCCTGGGGTCTTGTGCCCAGCCCACCTAGTCCAACACTAAGCTTGACTGTAACTCCCTAAGCTCTTTGGCAGATATCTTTTCACAGTGGTTCTGGGGCAGGTCAGCCTTGACATTCAATAAGTGTCCCTCCTTGGTTGAGCAGGCAAGGTCTACTAGCAAGAATGACACTAAGGGAAGAGACTTCCCCTCAGCTCTAAAACTCGCCCCGTGTGGGCTATTAGGAAGCAGGGTTGCTTGTGTCTAAGATGTTGCAACACCTCTTGAGCTTTGCTTTAGCTGTTTATTGCTTTTTGGGAGAGGAGGATTATTTTAAGCAGCTTGCTTAACAATGTGTATATTAGGTATGCTGTTTTCCAGTTGTACATTATGCATATCAGTACATATAAGAAAGGAAAGTGAACAGAATATATATGTTTGTGAACAGGATTATATGTGATAAAAGAAATAGCAAATGTCATGCCAATCTTCAAAAAGGGGGTGAGGGGGGACCCAAGAAACTACAGGCCGGTTAGCCTAACGTCTGTTCCAAGGAAGATGGTGGAAAACCTCATCCAAGATAAAATCTTAAAACACATAGAAGAACAAGCCTTGCTGAGGGAAAATCAGCATGGGTTCTGTAAGAGTATGTCTTGCCTCACAAAGCTTTTAGAATTCTTTGAAAAGGTCAACAGGCATGTGGAAACGGGGAACCAGTAGATATTGTCTATTTGGATTTTCAGAAGGCGTTTGATGCGGTCTCTCACCAAAGGCTGCTAAGAAAACTCCACAGTCAGGGGATAAGAGGGCAGGTCCTCTTATGGATTGAGAAGGGGTTGAGAACCAGGAAACAGAAAGTAGGTGTCAATGGGGAATTTTCACAGTGGAGAGAGGTGAAAAGCGGTATGCCCCAGGAATCTGTCCTGTTCATACATGACTTGGAGACAGGGATAAATAGTGAGGTGGCCAAGTTTGCAGATGGCATTAAAATTTTTCCAGGTGGTGAAGACCAAAAGGGATTGTAAAGAGCTCCAGAAGGATCTCTCTAAATTGGGAGAATGGGCAGCAAGATGGCAAATGCATTTCAATATAAGAAAATGTAGAGTAATGCACATTGGGGCAAAAAATCAAAACTTCACTTATCAGCTAATGGGTTCTGAGCTGCCTGTGACAGATCAGGAAAGAGATCTTGGTGTGCTGATAGACAGCTCAGTGAAAGTGTCAACCCAGTGTGTGGCAGCAGTGAAGGAGGCCAATTCCATGCTAGGTATCATTTAAAAGAGGGATTGAAAATAAAACAGCCAACATTATAATGCCATTGTACAAAATGATGGTAAGGCCGCACCTGGAGTATTATGTACAGTTCTGGTTGCTGCATCTCAAAAAAGACATCGTGGAGCTGGGAAAGATGCAGAAGAGAGCGACTAAAATGAGGGCTGGGCTGGGGCACCTCCCTTATGAGGAAAGGCTACAGCATTTGGGGCTCTTTAGTCTAGAGAAAAGGCACCTGAGGGGGGGACATGACTGAGACATATAAAATTATGCAGGGGATGGATAAAGTGGATAGAGGGAGCTCTTTTTCCTCTCATGCAATACCAGAGCTAGGAGACATCTACTCAAATCGAGTGTTGGAAGAGTGAGAACAGACAAAAGAAAATATATTTTTACATAGCATGTTGTTAGTCTGTGGAACTCCTTGCCACAGGATGTGATGGCATCCGGCCTAGATGCCTTTAAAAGGGGATTAGACAGATTTCTGGAGGAAAAGTCCACCACAGGTTACAAGCCATGACAGGGGTGTATAATCTCCAGGCTTAAAAGGAAGGTACCTCCAAATGCCAGATGCAGGGGAAGGGTATCAGGAGACAGGGATCTAGTGGTCTCATGTGCTTCCAGAGGCATCTGTTGGAGCCACTGTGAGATACAGGAAGCTGGCCTAGTTGGGCCCTTGGCCTGATCCAGCAGGGCTCTTCTTATGTTCTTATGTACATGCAAACACATATGTATTGCCTAGACTCCTTGTTAACATTAGTAACTGATTCAGAAATTTGCTGAAAGGGTTGAGAAAATGAGAGTGAGCATCTGAACAAGCTCTGTTTTCCTGCCTTCTTAAGTTCATATTTTAAGCAATATGAAGTTAAGTGTCTCAAAGAGGCAGAAGAAGTGTACTGGAGAAGAATGGCTTTACTCAGTCTTCTTTCTCTGGAGCAAGTAGCTCCACTGCCTCCCTGGCACACAGAGTTGAACTTGACAAAGGCAGTTGACACCACTGACACTTCTGAAGTACATGTACAATGGAAATAGTTGGCAGCCCCGACTTCGTCGCCCATGCAAGAAACTCTAGTCCTTGCTGCTCAAGGGTCACGAAAACAGGCCAGCTTTTGACCTAGAAGCATAATGGAGAAGCGTGGCACTGCCCTGTTTCCCTCCTCTTCTGGTCAAGGAGCTCCTTTTCCCTTTGTAACATGTTTGGACTATAGCAAGAGCCAAAGAGTACAGTATTACAACAGCCCAAGACCAATTGTGAAGAAAATGAAGAGGATTGGTAGCTCCCCTTTCCCTCATCTCATGAGTAGAGATGGGGGCTTCATATTCATATATGAATACGAGGCCCCCCAGCACAAGTGGCCAGCCTGATTACCTCCCACCCCACCCCGAGACTCCACAGGGCCACTTACCTGGAGGAATCTCCTTTGCCCCAATTGCGGCAGTAGCTTGGATGCCACAGCCCCACCTCTCTGCTTGCCCAGCCACACCAGCAAGGGGGCAGGAGGACAAGTCTCCCTGCTCAGCTGCGGAGTGGTTGGGTGAGCAGGGAGGCGGGGCTGCAGCAGCCAAACTACTGCCGTGATTGGGACAAAGGAGATGATGCCGGCCACATTAATTATATTTTGAAGCAACTGGAGTTAGGGCCATTTGAGAGAGATTTACTTAATGGGGAATTAACAGCAGTAGACAAATGTAGCAGTTGAGTTTTAATTTGGGAGCCTTTCATGGCTTTCTCTATGCACTTCTCACAACAGGAGATAGTTGGTTCCCAGAAATGAGATGAATTGTCCTTCACATCAACTTAAGAGCTGCTTCACGTAATGGCCTATATTCTTCTGTGGCCAAGAAGCTTAGTCAGCCTTAATTACACCATCCTTTCTCAGTTTAACCTACCCTACAAAATGATTGTGGGGCTTATATGACAGAGCCCTATAAAAACTGCAGGGTGGTCTTTGGAAGCTGACAGAAATGCAAATATAATGGAATATGCTGTTTTCTTCTGGACTCACTCAGACACACACACACACACATGCTGTTTTCTTCCGGACTCTCTCTCTCTCACACACACACACACACACACAGAGAGAGAGAGAGAGAGAGAGAGAGTTTTATTAGCCAGTTCTGCAAAAGTAATTGATTCTCACTTAGTCTGGTTCTATTTAAAACTTCTTTTTCTTGGCAGGTGTTCTGGGGCTTGGATAAGAAGCTTGCTCAACGTAAGCATTTCCCATCTGTGAATTGGCTGATCAGCTACAGCAAGTACACTCGTGCTCTGGATGAATACTATGACAAGCACTTCACAGAGTTTGTCCCCTTGAGGACCAAAGCCAAGGAGATCTTACAGGAGGAGGAGGATCTTGCAGAGATTGTACAGCTGGTGGGGAAGGTGAGTGGAGAAGAAGCCTCTCAAGGGGCAAACGGGAAATATGCCGAGATATTAGATAGCGATTTTAATCTAAAGAACAAAGATGAACTAGCAGAACAAGTTATTATCTTAGACTGGTGGTTGATAAACTTGTTGAAATCAAGATACAGTAGTGCCCCACAAGACGATGTTAATTTGTTCTGTGAAAATCTCTGTTTTGCAAAAACATCATCTTGCAAAATGAGGTTCCCCTTTGGAATGCATTGAAATCCATTTAATGCATTCCAATGGGGAAAAATCGTCATCGTTTTGTGAAAATCGCCCATAGAGAAACCATTTTGTGAAGCGCGGATCAGCTGTCAAAAATCTCTGCTTTGCGAAAAACGATCCCGAAAACACCCGTTTTGCAAGTAGCGGACTCAGCTGTCAAAATCGTTGTCTTGCAAAAAACGGTCCCGAAAAAAAGTCTTGCGAAGCACGGACAGAAACATCGTCCAGCGAAAATCGCCCATAGGAAACACAAGTTTTTGAAGCGCTATAGCGATCGCAAAACCTCATCATATAGCTAATAAACCGTTTTGCGAGGTAATCATCTAGCGGGGCACCACTGTATTTAAAAGATAAAGCTACAGAGTTTCAGAAAGACAAAATATCTTTGATAAGGGGTTGCTGGATTCAGAAGAAAAAATGATTAAAGGTTTATATAATACTTTAATGCAGAGGTAATCAAACCCTGGTCCATGACCCGGCGCCGGTCCGTGACCTGAGTCAGACCAAGCTGCGAAGACAGACCTCCCGCCCCCTGCATACAGTCCCACACACACAGCTGCTTTGCACACGTGCACAAAGCACGGGGTGCGGCACGGATCCCAACCAAGGAAAGTGGGGTGGGGGTGGGGAAAAGAGAACTGAGTCCTCACAAATCCAAAGAGGGTAGACGGCGTCAACCTAAGAAATGCGCTCAACGGGGAAGCCAGCGAACGGGGCGGGGATGGGCTATAGAGGCGGGGACTTCCCCCCAAGTGGCACGGCACAACACGGCAGCCAACCAGCAGGGTGCAGGGCTGGCCAATCGGGAATGGTGCAGACCAGGAGCAAACGCTTCAAATGCTTGCAGGAGGGGAGGGGCGCCTCTCAGCTGATTGTTTCTCTCCGGATCCGGAGCTGAGAAGGCTTGGGCTACAAGCACCCTGGAACACCCTGCGTGGAGGGATAGGGGGCAGTTGCTCACGAACGTCGCTGCCTCCCCCCGCCTGCGGAGGTGGACCGGGCTGTGAAGACAAATGCCCCCTCCACACATGCACTCCCCTCCCCACAGTTGCTTTGTGTGCGTGCCAGCACTGGTGGGTGCTCTCCCGCTGCTTCATGCATGCGCCGTGCGAAGGGCCGGGAGTGCAGGCGTCCCTGCGCATGCGCGAAGGTGTGAGGGAGCATTCGTGCATGTGCCCAAGAGCACGTGCACCTGCAGGGGGGGCACCGTTTTCCTCGGAGGCTCAGCCAGTCCGCAGTCCAAAAACGGTTGGGGATCGCTGCTTTAATGGAGCAAAAAATGGAAATTGTGAAAGATTGTGTGGTAAAGTGGGCTCAAAATATAGGTCATAATATAGGACTAAGTGCCTGGTCACAAATTTGGCAATGAAATATTAAAATGACTAAATCTATAAATGTAAAAGAAAATATACATAAAATGTTTTACAAATGGTATGTAACACCAGAGAAATTAACAAAAATGTATAAAAATGTTTCTAATAAGTGTTGAAAATGTGAAAAGAAAGTAGGTAGCTTCTATCATGTGTGGTGGACATGCAATAGGATCAAGGACTTTTGGAAAATAATCCATGAAATGATACAGAAAAATTTAGGGGTTAAAATTGCTTTGACACCAGAAATCTTCTTGTTGAATATATTACCAGCTACACTTGAAAAAAACAAGACCTATTTGACCTTACATCTGATAACGGCAGCTAGAATTTTATATGCCAGTAAGTGGAAGACTACAAAGGTACCGACAAAGAAGGAATTTATTGAGAAGATTTTGGAAGTAGCAGAAATTTATATTTTGACAGATACACTAAATGACAAACTGGATAATAATAAATGGGAACCTCTTTACATCTGGATGAAATCTACATCAATTTAAGTAGAATAGATTAATACTATGTTAGAGAGTATAAGACAAGATTAAATGAATGGAATATATTGGAATAAATCACTCTGGTTGCAACGGATAGAAAAGTAGAAAAAATGCAATAAAAATATTTTTTGAAAAAGATTATGCTGGGGATAAAAAAATGCAATAAAAATATTTTTTGAAAAGGATTATGCTGGGGATAGATAAAGTCAATAGAGAGAAGCTCTTTTCCCTCTCATACAATGCAAGAACCAGGGGACATCCACTCAAATTGAGTGTTGAAAGAGTGGGGAGTGTTGCAGTATTGTGTGTTCATCATGCAACTGTGACTGTGTATGACTGTGTACATATGTGCATGAGGCCTGGTTGTTATTTGTATAATCATATTGATAAACATTCAAAGAAAAGTGGGGAAATTGGCACACTGATGTATTTCTATATCGTCTGCTAGTATAACATAGAAATGAATCCAAAAGAGAGGGGGGGGAAATTATGTAAATGAGTTTACAATGTAGGGGTGAGGAAGATCTTTTTCTGTTGAGGGTTGCATTCCCTTGGCATGATCTGCTTTAGAGGTGCCTGTTTGCAATTGGTGGGTGCAAAGAAGAGATGGGCACAAACTGTGGTTTGGTGTAGCACGCGTGCAGGTGTTCCACAGGCACCCTTCCCCTCCTCCAGCAACAATTGTCCATTCACCACCAGCAGCGCATTTCCCTACTCTGCCTCCTCCAGCGACTGCCCACTCAGATGAAGAGGCAGGGCAAGGAAACCTGTGGCGGAGGGAAGCACACTGCTGCTGGTGAGTGGACGATTGTGTAGAGGAGTTGGGAGAGGGAAGCATGCTGCTGGCAGTGGGTGGGCGATCATGTGGAGGAGGCAGGGAGGGAAGCGTGCGGCACGCGTAGAACACCTGTGTCGTCACTGCACTGAACCGTGGTTTGTCCACATCTCTAGCCCGAAGTCAAAACTGAGGAGAGCCACCTCAACGTGCTGGAGGAGAGACAGTACTGTGGCCAGATTTTTAAGTCACTTCATGGTGGCTTTTCAACTTAAGTGAAATACTAAACTAAGTGGAGTTTGCAAATTGCAGATTCCTGCAATAATAATTGAACTAGAAGGATTTTGCATGCTAAACAGACCTTTTTCTCCCTTCCTCTCTCTAGGCTTCCTTGGCAGAAACAGATAAAATAACATTGGAAGTTGCCAAGCTCATTAAGGATGACTTCCTGCAGCAAAATGGATACACACCTTATGACAGGTATGAAGTAGACAGTTTCTCTTCCTCTTTCACAAGCTTTAAAATGCCTGCTTGAGACATTGCTTCAGTGTAATTCAGCAATCCCTTGCAAATCAAGAAAACAGGCACTTTGCAGGGAAACATGTTGCAGGGACATATGCTCCAAAGTTGGGTAAGCCATGGACAGGTTGCTACCTCTCCAACCTGGGAGAGATACAGTCCAGTTGATGTGCTGGGCTGTGAGGAACAAAATATTTGTTCTAGTATTGCTAGGAGCCATGCCAGGGCAGCAGTTACGATTGTGATTGCCAGGGGTGGGGAGAAAAGCTTTAGCTTCTGTCGTAGTTGGGGTTGACTGCTTCCCTGATCGTACTGGCAACAGCAGAGAAGCAGTGACACTGTTTAACCTTATTCCCATCCCAGCAAGATCGTAATTGCTTAGGGTCCTAAGCCAGAATCCTAATGTTGATTTGTATGTGCATACAAGAAAGTGCATAAATAAAATTACGGCTCATTAACAAGATGCTAGTTATGGGTAGCACCTTCTTAATTAGCAGTAATTTGCTACAAGAACTTAGGCAGTTTCCTCTACACAAGTGTTAATTTGCAGCAGAGTTCTGGCCATACTATTCTGATATATTTCAACTGTTTTTTACTGTCATCCAATAAAAAATGCTATTCCATTCTTTACATGTCTGTGTGGGAGTGTTCTTGAACATGTTGCAGGGACATATGTTCACCATTAGCATTTTCATAGTACAGCAACATTTTGTTCTGAAGAATGAGAGCCCAAGAATAAAATTCTCTGAAAGGTGAAAGCATGAACATTCATTTAGATTCATTTAGTGGCTTTTCGGTCTTATGACTCAGTAACTATGCTATTTCAGGTTCTGCCCATTTTATAAGACAGTGGGGATGCTCTCCAACATGATTGCATTTTATGATATGGCACGTCGAGCAGTTGAAACTACAGCTCAAAGTGACAATAAAATTACTTGGTCCATTATCAGAGAGAACATGAGTGAGATCCTCTACCGGCTCACCTCTATGAAATTCAAGGTATGTTGTTTATCTTGGCATTCCTTCTCTTTTCTGTGCTCCAGGACTGGGGCACAAGTTCTTAGAATTTGGTCTTTCCTCTGGGGAAAGCTTCTAAGAATTCAGGCATCTTTTTACCCAACTAGGAATATCTCATTTTCATAATTGCTATATTTAAACAAAAAACTAAAGAGATGTGATAGACAATATTTACTCCAAAGTGACCCTGCTAAATATAATGTTTGATGGCTTTATAAGTACTTGCTGCGGTTAGTAAGACAAGTTGGGCAGCTTTTATTCCATTCCTGTACCTTCAGGGCAGGACCAGTGGCCTTCTGCATGTTTTTTGGCCCACAGCTCCCATCAGCTTTGGTGATGTTGTAGCTGGAAAACATTTGGAGGGTCACAGTCATCCTCCTCCATCGCTGTGGGCAGAGACTATTCAAGGGGGAATTTCGTGCCAGCCACTTCTGCTTTCCAAAATATGCTTAAGCTGTTTCTTAGCCCTGACTTGTTAAATTTCAGGACCCAGTGAAAGACGGAGAGGCAAAGATCAAAGCAGACTATGCCCAGCTTTTTGAAGACATGCAGAATGCATTCCGCAGTTTGGAAGACTAGAGCATGGCCTTCCTGGAGCCCCAACTTGAGTGCGTTCCTCATCTCACCCTTCCTGTTTTACCAATGATAGAAGATGTACACTTTGCTGAAAAATTATTGTATCTTTAAAACATTCCTGTTTGGTTTGATAGCCCTCCTTGTGTAAGTGTGAATCTGAGCTTAATCGTCAAAAGCAGATCCTTGTAAAGGTTCCTGTAGGGCTGGAAGTGTCCTCTGCCAGACTGACCTCTTAGCAGACAGATTCTCTCTTTTTGGAAGAGAACCAAGAGAGGCAAGAGGATAGATTGCTTCGGGGAGGAGGAAAGAACATGCAGGCTGTTGAATTCTGATGACACCAGAACAGTGGAAGCAGTATTTCTGGTTTAGAACTATGCATTTGTGGTAGTTCTGATGCTTCAGAGATAGGATTTATTTATTGTACTTCAGAGCTGCTCTTTGCCCCCATGAAAAACACAGGCATACAGCTGAGAATACTTAGTTTCAGTATGTCTTTGACACTTCCCTGTTTCAGCAGGTGTGCTAAAAATCTTCAGGATTGGAACTGCTGAATGAAGAGAAGCAACTATTCTTATCCAAGGATGTACAACTTTTCTTTAAATATAGATTATATTTGTTACTCAAAGCCATGGCTGCTTACAATTCTTACAGGAATACCTCTTGCCCCTCCTCTTATGTGCTCCCCTGGCCCCCCCACCTGGAAACTCAGGCACATCGATGTGTGCAGCTTCTGTATCCGAATTTTCTTTTTCTCTAATGCCAGGTGTGCGATAAATTGTGGACCACAAATCCAGACTTTCCACCATTTTCTGCGGTGTTTCTAGCAGAATCTCTTAAGTTTATTAGAGCAAAATAAGAAACTCTAAATGGTTTTCTTTGACTCATAGGTAAAAATAAGAAACTCAGTTCTGTAGAAGTCAAGACAGCAAGTTTTAGGGGAATATCAGTGCTGCAAACTTTGAATTTACAGAACGGAAGGTTCCCAAAGATCAGCCATTCCTGTCCTGCCTCTGATTTGCAAAACACACTAGTGACCCTGCTCAGATATTTCCATACCTCAGATCAGTTAACTGTGGTTCCTGAAGCTCATCTATAATCCCACTTCCAGTTACAACAAAGAGAATTCTAGTGTATCTAATCAGTGTAAATGAATGCCCATTGCACCACTGTTGTGAAATGGGATTCTAGCAAAAAGCGAGACAGAGAGAGCGTGCTTTCTCTCTCTCTCCAGAACTCTTTTCTGGTGAGTCCCCCCCCCCTTTGGGCAGAATTTTAACTATCTTACTACTCTGCACAGCAGCAAACCTGGTAATAGGATTGAAAAACAGTTGAATGTTGCACATGGAACTTGTACATTTGTACAGTCAAGTGTAAGGCAAAATGCTCCAAATCTCTCCCTCCACCAGTTGAATGTGTTTGCAACAGGATTGCATTCACTTTGGGACTCTCCACGTCTGCAGCAAGGGGTATTAATTTTCATTGTGCTATGTTTACAAAGAGTGGTGTACGAATGATTAGTGTAAAGCTCTATTTTGTTAAAATCCTAATTGACTGTATTGCATTGTAGCATTTTGTGATCCAGCGGCTTTTAAGATGAGGCTGTGAGGTTTTACAAAAGATGTTTAATGCAGCTATTTATTGTCCTGTCCCTACCCAGAACTAGCAATTCAGGTTCAAATATATGTCTATTTGTGTTGTACCTGTTTTCAGTGTTAAAAAAAGCCCCTATGTTCACTGTATTACTGCAAACTCTTTGATTCATCAACAAGTAAAAAGAATTTGGGGGGGGGTCCTGTATAGTACATTGTATCTGTTGCTAAAAGTTGTGTACATTTGTTCAGATCACTGAGAATAAAAAGGGTAGTGAGAATGTAACTTGTCCTGTCCTTCATGTAGCCAGCTGCACTCATTCCTGGAGATGTCTGATCTGGCTACAGTGACACGTGCCCTTGTTACAGCCAGGCTGGGGCTGCCTATGGAAAGTCTCTGGAAGTTTCAGCGGGTCCAAAATGCAGCAGCCAGATTGCTGACTGGGGCTGATTACAGGAATCACAGACCCCCACACCCCACCCCTTACAGCAACTCCACAGGCTGCCGGTTCATTGCCAGTCTGAATTCTAACTGCTGGTTCTGATCCATAAAGCCCTAAATCAGAGGTCCCCAATCTCCGGTCCGCAGCCCAGGGCCAGACCGGGCCGCCGAGACAGACCTCCCGCCCCACCCACTGCACACACTCACCCCCACGCAGCCCATTTGTGCCTTTGCACGCACTCCAGCACGCCCATGCGAGCGTCGTGCTGCTGTTTGCACATGCGCACAAGCGTGAGTGCACTTGTGAGAGTGCTTGTTCACACATGCGCATGAGTGTGGGGGGTGCCCCGCCTTCCCAAGCCGGTCTGCGGACTGAAAAAGGTTGGGAACCGCTGCCCTAAATGGTTTGAGCCCAAGCCATCTCAAGGATCACATATTAGTGTTAAGATCATCAGGAGAGGCCTTTCTCTCAGTCCTGCCACTTTTAAAGATGCATTTTGTGGGGATGCAGGAAGTATTTCTCATCAGACAGGCTTTTCCTGAGTGGGGTTTTTAAACAGATTAAAAAATATTTTAAATGATCAAAATAAAGCTTTTTGAGCTTCTAGTTAGCTGTTCCTGAAGCTAGAGCCTCAGTATGAAAACAAAAGCCAAAGTTAAATAATTCCTGCCAGCCTTATCTGTGTAGCTCAGTCTCAGCTTCTGCCATAATAGGTTTATGATAGACTGGAAATATATTTTTGGATTGAGAACTCAGAGGGGGCTGCCTCTCACTTGCTGAATTCTCATGTCTTGGGCCATTCTTGATTACAGAACATTTTGCTGCCTGAGGCAGAGCACAACATCGTGCCCACTCCCCATCCCTGATTCCATGTAGAGGAGTTGATTGGTTTGGCAGCTAAATCTTACTTCAGCAGTCCTAAAAGGGCACCCTCTTCACCATATCTGAGGCCAGAGGCAGTACTCTTGCATAGTTTTGAATTCCTGGTTAAATTCCTCTAGCTGCACAGCAGAAGTGCAGAGACTCACAGAGCAGAATGTAAGACCGTTGGTCCTTTTCCTCAGGCAGCCCCTCTGTTTTGGCGGGAAATAAAATAGGCTGAGTCTGTATAACATTAACATTGGAACTTTTATTCAACTCCACTTCCTCCAGCACATCTTTGAACGGGTTCAACGGTTTCAAATTAGGCAACAAGCCATCCTCAACAATATTCAAACTCTGATCAAATTCCCATGGTGTTACAGGCGGCGGACCCCACATGGTCCCCTCGGCTCCCTCTGAGGAAGTGGGAGACTCCTCATTGCGCAAATGGTCCCACAGCATTTATGTCTATACCACCCTCTTTCGTCGGGACCTTCGTGTTCTTCAGCTGTCAACTATTCACGCTCGCGTTGTAGCTCTAATTCCCTGGGCGCCACAATCACATTCCATTCCTTTATCAACTTACGCAGAGTAGTCTCTGTCACTCTTGGAGGATCGGGTAGCAGGCCTCCCTCTTTCAAATGGGGAAAGTCTTTTAACAACCCCTGGGTGCGGACCTTCTCAAATGCCCTACGGCTTTCCTCCCTCTTCTTTCTCTCATAGTCTTCCACCACTGAACCATACCATACCACCCCCTCCTCATTCTTATAACCCCCTCCAACTGTCACTTCAGACTCCTCCCACTCCTCGTCTGCCAAGCACACTTCTACTTTCACCTCTCCCCCTTTCTCTTTCGTCTCCTTTCCCTTTTCTTCTTCACTTTCACCACTAACTCGTCGACTCTTTTTTCCATCCTCTTTTTCCACTTTTACTTCTGCGGACGGCACACTCTTTATTTCCTGCACCTTCACACAGAATTACCTTCAAGTTCCTCAGATTAGTCCACCGTTGTACTCATTAACTGGCACAGTCTCAGTGACTGAGACATTAGTAACAGAAAAAGAAGAGTTTCATTACAATTGAACAAATCAAACAACAAATAACAAAACATGGCTGCTGTCAGCAACAGGCTTCAATAGCTGACAGACTCCCGACAAACAGAGAGGGTGGACATGAAGCAGAGAGCCAGGGCTCTCTGGATCAGAGGCAAGAAGGAACAATTGGTTAACAGTGATAGTCAGCCCAGCCCAGCCCAGCCCAGTAAGATCATTTCCAGCCACGCTCACTGGAGGCAGCACATGAGGTAGCAATAACTCCAACAGGAACTGCCTCCAACGCAGCATTGCTCAACTCTGTGCCCCAACATTTGTTGGCTTGAACAGCCACCTCACTCTGCCTAAAGATAGAGCTGGCCCTGCCACAACTCTCCATGAATCATTGCCTCAGGCCACAATGATTTGTGGGGGTGGAGTGTATTAAGTTCAATGAAGTATGTGAGATTTGTCATGGAGTCATTAAGAGTCTGTATGAGAAAACGTAATGGGTATAAATTATACTTTCAGGAAAACAGGACAATAATGGAAGAACAGTGTTTTGGCCAGCGACACTGTATGCAGAGGGGAGCCACACCAAGATCCAAACTGAAACTGGATGACAGGAAATGGTTGGGGAGTAGAAAATGAAGGAAAACTCATCTTTGCCTCCCCCTCCCAACAATATTCTGTTTCCATCACATTTATTACTTACATTTATATCCTGCCTTTTTCCATTTAGCTCAAGTCGGCATATTTGGCTCTCCTTCCCGTTTTGTCCTCCCAACAACCCTGCAACTGAGCGACACTCATGTAGGAGGTTTTGTGGCCAGGTGGGAATTTGAACCGAGGTGTCTTGAGCCCAACACGCTGACCATTATTGCACACTGTCCTGTGTTCACAAAGTAACAAATAAGATACCAGGAAGTGGCCATTTTATGGCCCAAAATATAAGCTGATATTTGCATTTCAAAGGAAGCTCCTTTGAAATGGCACTAGAAGTTTCAAACAAAATATCCACTTCCTGGTATCTTGCTTGCAAAATTGGGAGGACGACCCTGGCAGGAAGAGCTGCCCTTGCCGAATTCTGAGGCTAACCAGAATTTAAAAGAACCAGAATTACATGCCAACTGGGTTCACATGATCAAAAGCACATCTCATTTGGTCTTTGTCCCTAAGGACAGGATAGTCATAAATCTACTATCAAGCAGTGAAATAGATTCTAGGTAGAGGCTGACCACTAGCTTTGAATATTAAATATTAAGACATTTGGAAAATACCCAGTGTCAAAATTTGCAAAGACAAATAGATGTAGTTGCCTGAAATCAACTGCCTTAAAAAAAAAACACCCAAAATTTGCAGCCTCAGTATCAAAAATACCCCTGCACCATTAGAGGGCATTGTGGTTAGAAAACTTGCAAGTAATAGGGAAATGAGAGAGATGTGTAAGCTCCAGCAAGGAAAGTAGAAAGCAGACAAGGGCTGCTTGGCTTGTCACACTTAGCTCCGTCTGGTACCTGTATTTAGAGCTGCAGACTGTTATAAAGCACAGTGGTCACAGACAGTAGCATGGCTTTACAAAGTAGCATGGGGCAAATGATACTTTGTAAAGCCATGCTACTGCCCTATTTTATGTAGCTACTCCTTGAACTCACTGACTAGCCTAAAAACAATATACACCTAGAACCTCCACATCCTATGGGAATTGATTCCAAGACCCCTGTGGTCTATGTATGTAAAATGTGTGTGTGTGTGTGTGTGTGTGTGTGTGTGTGTGTGTGTGTGTGTGTGTGTGTGTGTGTGTGTGTGTGTGTGTGTGTGTGTGTGTGTTTTCACATGCATTACCAGAAATGGCCATGAGAGGGTGCTAGAGTATCATAGCACAGTTTCTGTTTCCCTCTAGTGCTGGTTTTGGTAATACATGTGAAAATAGTTTATACAGTATATATACACACACACACACACATATATTAATGTGTTATTTATATAACTCTATATATATTCAGACTGTGGGTAAGCAAATCCATGGATACAGGGGTCTTACTGTAATTATCTCACTCCCCCAACCACTGTAATGCTGATTACAGTGGTTGGGCATTACAGTTGTTAGCATTACAGTGGTTTGGGGAGTGAGCACTGTAATGCTCACTCCCCCAACCACTGTAATGCTAACAACTGTTGCTAATCCCCTCCATGTACCATCAACTGTCCAAATCACTGTTCCTAAGTAAAATAGTGACAGAATTGGAGCACAGAAAGCATGGTCCTATGTGTCGTTGGAAAGAACCCATGTCTCTCCACCATATTTTTCCTAATACTTACCCACCCATCTAACAGGCTCTAACAATTCACCCACAAGTGACTGTGTCCCATCTAAAGGCAAAGGGTAAGTTATAACTCTGTTTGATCACTAAAATAATCATGAACAAATGCTAGCTTTTGGCCGACATGGGTTTCCATAAGGAGTACAAGTCTAGCGTAAGAGGCTGTCAATTGAGCGTAGTGTTCTCCTAAAGGCAAGGCAAGCCCAGTGAAGTAACGTCTAAGTCTCTTGTACACATTAAAGTTTGCCTTTCCAGACTCTTTCAAGCAGAGAGTCCATCGGGCCTCACTTATTTCTGAAGCTTCTGGAAAGCAAAGGCATGTTCTTGCTCCTCCCCCCACAACAGCCCACGGAGATCAGTCTCCTGGAACCTCATACCAGGCCGGACTGCAGGAGTGGCCTGGAGATGCCTCTTCTCATGAGAGACTTTCACTCGGGTGCTTGCTGCTTTGATCCTGGGCAGAAAGCCATCTGCCACAGGAACGAGCCATTTTGCCACAAAGTCTGATAGATTCACCTTTCCCTGGTTCTCAGTTTCTCAACTCTTGCTAATGACCATTATCTCAAAAAACAAAACAAAAAAACAATCAAAAACAACAAAAAAACACCACTTGTTCTTCTTGAGGCAGTGCAACAGTACACCAAGAACCTTGATTTCCAAGTGTGCAAATTATTATTTTCTACAGGTTGTCTCTATTCAAGAGTAAAAATAGATGTCCACATTTTTCAAATGTCACTTTCTACTAAATTACAAATGTATGTTCTCTTCCGATTCTTTCCCCGAAAATTGGGCAGCTTTTCAGAATCACGACACCTGGATGTTTTGAAAAATGACTTTGTAAGATAAAATGTTAACGTAACTGAAGATAATCAGCATTTTTCAAAATATTCTGGATAACCAGTGATGCTCACTTTTACTGACTCTTCACTGTTGAGCCCATGAACCGGAGTAAGAAACTTGACGTTCTTGAACTCCGGTTCCCATCAGTTCCACCCATTGTAGTCAAAGGTGAGAGATGATGGCAACAGCTGCTCAACATCTGGAAGGGCCAGAGGTTTCCACATATCCCCTAGAAAAACAGCTTTAATTTCTCCTCATGTGGCCACTTCCTGGCTGTTCTTTTGGAGAGTCTGGGTACAACTTCATCCTATAGTGGGAGAACTGATCCAAGCGGCCTTCCATGAACAGCACAGCTGAGGTTGAAAAGCTGTGTTGGTTTTCTCTGTTCAAGCTTTCATGATCATAACGAGTTTTTATCTTTACTAGGACCAACTGGATCAGCATGTTACCCTAGTTCAGTGGTGGCAAACCTTTTTGTGCTCACGTGCCCAAATTGGGGGGAGGGGGACGGTGGGTGGTGTTCCACCGCCGCAATAGTCAGACCTGTAAGACCGGAACCAGAAGTGG